AAGCTGGGATGAACATTTGTGTACAGATCTTTGTGGTTATAATGCTTTTAGTTTTCTTAGAAGTGGAAAGCTGGGTCCCATGGTAGGAGTATATTTAACTTCTTAAGAAATTGCCAAATTGTTTCCAAAAGTGGTTGTAACATTTTATATTCCCACAAGTGTAGCTTGAGTTTCAATTCTACATCCTTAGCGTACTTGGTATGGTCACTCTTTTTTTAATTTTAGCTATTCTGCTGGGTGTTTAGTGGTAGATTTTTGTAGTTTTAATTTGCCTTTCCCTAAATGATATTGAGCATTCTTTTATGTGCTTATTTGCCATTCCAGTATATTCTGTTTTGAAGTATTTGTTCATATCTTTTCCTATTTAAAAAAATTGTAGTAAAATACATATAACATAAAACTTACCATCTTAGGCATCTTTATTTTTTATTTTTTTAAAAAGATTTTATTTATTTGAGAGGGACAGAGAGACAGAGAGAGCATGGGAGGGGGGAGGGTCAGAGCGAGAAGCAGACTCCAGTTGAGCAGGGAGCCTGATACGGGGCTTGATCCCAGGACTCCAGGATCATGACCCGAGCTGAAGGCAGATGTTTAACTGAGTGAGCCACCCAGGTGCCTCAACATTTTTTTTTTTTAAAGATTTATTTATTTATTAGAGAGAGAGAGAAAGAGTGTGCGTGTGTGGGGGGGAAGGGGCAGAGGGGCAGAGGGAGAGAGAGAAAGAGAATCCTCAAGTAGTCTCTGTGCTGAGTTCGAAGCCTGACTTGGGGCTTGATCCCAGGGCCCTGAGATCATTACCTGGGCCAAAATCAAGAGTCAGACGTCTGTTCAACCAACTGAGCCACCCAGGCATCCCCCATCTTACAGTATAGTAGCATTAAGTACAGGCACGTTATTTTGCAACCAATTTTCAGAACTCTTCGTCTTGCAAAATGGTTATCTGTTTTAAGTATTGGGTTTGTTTTGAAATTTCTTTACATATTCCGATATAAATCCTGTGTCAGATATATGCTTTGCAATTATTTTCTCCCAGTCTTTGTTTTGTCTTTTCAGTTTATTGTGTAGCTTGAAATCAGCTAAGGCAGGAATTAATTACTCCACATTAATTGGAAAATTGCTACAAATCAGGGCTTGATTTATTGTTTGTTGATTGTCTATACTTAAGAAATGGGGAAAGTGTTAATAATGCAGATTAAACTTAAAATTATGTTGTGTCCATAGCCGTTACATTATAAAAAGTGTAAGAAAGCATGGAAGGAAATATTCCTTCTAATACTGGAAAACTGTTATCTAATCAGCAGAGAACTCATTCAGGTCAGACATATGTCTTCATTGTTCCAGCCTTGTCAGTTGCAACCATCACTTGGCTATGGTTATAAGAATTAGCGTGAAAGCATTCTGTGACAATCAATTGACTGTGTGGAATTTGTGATAAAGAGAATTATATATTTTTTGTTATTTGTAAATTGTGTGGTACATATCTTTTTATCTCAGTAGGGTTTATATTAAGTTTATGTACACATGTATACATTTTTTCTTTTTTTTTCTGCAGAGACAGTTGTTAAATATTTACCAGCATACCACTGGCCACACACTAATAAGTAAGCACCAGGAAAATGTGTTTTAGACTCATGTAACTTAAATGAGTCAAGAAATAAAAATGAGGTCAGGAAACAAAGTCATTCCATAGGTGATAAGAGAACCAAATCTAATTCTGAGACCAAAAAATGAAAGGGATGAGTAGTAGGGAAAGAAAATGAAAAGCACAATACACAGAAGGCCAAGTCAGTTCTCTTATTACTAAAGACACAGAAGAAGTGAGTTATTTTCTTCTAGGAGTTTTATGGTTTCAGGTCTCACAGTTAGTTCTTCAATCCATTTGGAATTTATTTTTGTGTATGGTATAAGAAAGTGGTCCATTTTCATTCTTTTGCATATAACTGTCCAGTTTTCCCAATACCATTTGTTGAAGAGACTGTTTCTTCCCTATTGTAAATCCTTACCTCCTTTGTTATAGATTAATTGACCATATAAGCATGGATTTATTTCTAGGCCCCCTATTCAGTTCCATTGATCTGTTTTTGTGCCAATACTGTACTCCCCCCGCCCCCCAGCTGGGGGCGTTACATTAACATTTATTTGTTGAGCTTTTTTTTTATTAATTTAATTTAATTTTATTATGTTATGTATGATACATTACATCATTAGTTTTTGATGTAGTGTTCCATGATTCATTGTTTGCGTATAACATCCAGTACTCCATGCAATATGTGCCCTCCTTAATACCCATCACCGGGCTAACCCATCCCCCCACCTCTAAAACCCTCAGTTTGTTTCTCAGAGTCCATAGTCTCTCATAGTTCGTCTCCCCTTCCAATTTCCCCCCTTCATTTTTCCCTTCCTACTATCTTCTTTTTTTTTTTTAACATATAATGTATTATTTGTTTCAGAGGTCCAGGTCTGTGATTCATCAGTCTTACACAATTCACAGCGCTCATCATAGCACATACCGTCCCCAGTGTCCATCACCCAGCCACCCCATCCCTCCCACCCCCCACCACTCCAGCAACCCTCAGTTTTTTCCTGAGATTAAGAGTCTCTTATGGTTCGTCTCCCTCTCTGGTTTCATCTTGTTTCATTTTTTCCTCCCTTCCCCTATGGCCCTCTGTCTTGTTTGTCAAATTCCTCATATCAGTGAGATCATATGATACCTTTCTTTCTCTGATTGACTTACTTTGCTTAGCATAATACCCTCTAGTTCCATCCACGTCATTGCAAATGGCAAGATTTTTTTTTTTGTGGCTGCATAATATTCCATTGTGTGTGTGTGTGTGTGTGTGTGTGTGTGTGTGTGTGTGTGTGTACACACACCACATCTTCTTTATCCATTCATCTGATGGACATCTAGGCTCTTTCCACAATTTGGCTATTGTGGACATTGCTGCTATAAACATCGGGATGCATGTACCCCTTCAGATCCCTACGTTTGTATCTTTGGGGTAAATAGCCAGTAGTGCAATTGCTAATACCATACTCTTTTAATTACTATAGCTTTGAAATCTGGGATTGTGATATTCAGCTTTGCTCCTCTTTCTCAAGATTGCTTTGGCTATTTGGGGTCTTTTGTGGTTCCATACAAATTTTAGTGTTATTTGTTCTAGTTCTATGAAAAATACTGTTCCTACTTTGATAGAGATTGCTTTGGCTGTAGAAACATTTTTCTAGATACCTCTTTAGGCAAGGGAAACAAAAGCAAAAATAAACTATTGAGACTATACCAAAATAAAAAGCTTTTGTACAGCCAAAGAAACCATCAACAAAACAAAAAGTCAGCCCATTGAATGAGAGAAGATATTTGCAAATGATATATCTGATAAGGAGTTTATATCTAAAATATATAAAGAACTTCTACAACTCAGTAACAAAAAACCAAATAATCTGATAAAAATGGGCAGAGGACCTGAGTAGACATTTTTCCAAAGAAGACATACAGATGACCAATAGACACATTGGAAAGATGCTTAACATCACTAATCATCAGGGGAGTGCAAATCAAAACCACATTGAGAAATCACCTTACACCCGTTAGAGTGGCTAGAATCAAAAAGCCAAGGAATAACAAGTGTTAGCAAGGATGTGAAGAAAAAGGAACCCTCTTGCACTGTTGGTGGGAATGCAAATTGGTGTACCCACTGTGGAAAACAGTATGGAGGTTCCTCAAAAAACTAAAAGTAGGGGGGCGCCTGGGTGGCTCAGTTGGTTAAGTGTTTGCCTTTGGCTCAGGTCATGATCTTAGGGTCCTGGGATTGAGCTCCTCATTGGGCTCCCTCCCTGCCCAGTGGGAAGTCTGTTTCTCCCTCTGCCCCTCCCCCTATTCATGGACGCTTTCTCTCTCTCTCTCTCTCTCTCTCTCTCTCAAATAAATAAATAAAATCTTAAAATAAATTAAAAGTAGAATTGCCACATGATCCAGTAATTCCACTACTCGGTATTTACCCAATAAAAACGAAAACACTGATTTGAAAAGTTATGTGCCCGCCCTACATTTATTGCAGCATTATTCACAATAGCCAAGATAGGGAAGGAACCCAAGTGTCCATCAGTATAGATGAATGGATAAAGAAGATGTGATACACACACACACACACACACGCACGCACGCACGCACGTGCACATGGACACACACACACACACAATGGAATATTAGCCATAAAAAGAATGCGATCTTGCCATTTGCGACAACATGGATGGACTTAGAGGGTATAAATGCCTAGTGAAATAAGTCAGAGAAAGACAGATACAATATGATTTTACTCATATGTAAGATGTAAAAAAAAAAAAAAAGAACAAAGGAAAAAAAGAGACCAAAAAACTGACTATTAAATACAGAGAACAAACTGGTGGTTGCCAGAGAGGGGGATGTTAGTGGGATGATGGGTGAAATAGATAAGAGATTAGGAGTATACTTCTTGATGAGCACAGAGAAATGTATAGAATTCCTGAAACATATATTGTACACCTGAAATAATGTAATACTGTATGTTAATTATACTTAAATTTTTAAAAAGTATAAAAATTAAAAGAAATTAGAAAAAGAAGGTGGGTTGTTATTGTAGGGTATTTGTTTTTGTCTGATTTGACTTGCTCTTGGTCTATTGCCATGTAATAGTCTGCTAACAATATTGAAGAGGAATGTTCAAAACTCATATATTATTAGTATTACATTAGCAACTTCAAGTAAGCCTGGAATAGCTAAATATAATTTGTTAAGACCAAAAAAAATTACAAAATACTTTTTAGAATTTAAAATTGGAGCATAGAACAATTATGTGTTTTCTGTTGTCTGCTAGAATTTGCACTATTAGCTACATTGCTTTTTTATCTATACACTCAATTCTGTAATGTTTAGTGTAGTTATATTTCTTTCAAAAGGTTCTTTCTTTTGAGAATATCTTGATTTTGAATCTGATGATTAAGTTTAAAAACATTTTGTTTTGTAGCCATGCAGGATATACGTACTGTGGGTCCTGTGCTGCTCATGCTTACAAACAAGTGGATCCCTCCATTACGTAAGTAATACACAGTTTTGTTTAAGTGGGAGAAGGTTGGGAATTATAACCACTTTGTCACAGAAGTAATTTGTTTTGGCATGCTTATTGTTAATACTTGATTTCATTAGGAATTTAACTTTTTATATATTTATTATACCTTATATAGGGTATGAAAAGCTTTCATACTGTTTTTCATTGAACATTTAGTTTTTACTTTTCCTTTTGTTGGTAATATGTTTAGTTCTGGAAATATAGGAAGATTAAATATTTTGGTTTTTAAATTTTTTTTTTTGCAACCAGGAGATGAGCATCTTTAAGAATGCAAAGCACTTTGTTCTATGTTAATCAGTTTGTAATTTAAAATTCTTTATTCTACTTGTTAAGTTGTGGTTAATGAAAGAAAATAATTTCTCATTGGCATGATGAGGTAGCTGAATTATTTTAGAATCTGACAGTGAATTTAATATGGTGTTTGAAGTATGTTAGCTCTTAACTCAATGAGAGCTCTGAAATTAGCTTTAAAATTTTTTTCTGGCAGATTGAGACTTACTAAATAATATACTGCTCTCTAAAATAAGAAATTTGTGAACTTTTAAAACCTTCTGCTAGAAATAGCCACCCAAATTACTTAATTTGCTGACCAGCATTTTATTTAAATAGTTAATTCACAAATGTGAACCAGTGTCAGGCTCCAGTGTGTACGCTGTTATACACACTGTGCAAATAGGTAAAATCAGTCGTCTCAATCCTGTCAGCTGTTGACTGTTAGGTTAGACTTGTGTTGGTAGAGGTGACGCATAGTCATTCAAAAGAAGTAACTCACAGCAGCCCTGATGTAAAAAGAGTCACTCCCACAGCCTCATCCTTTGCCTTTGAGCAATTTGTTCAAATTTTTAAACAAAAGAGCTGTTCTTTTTTGTTTTTATGTAGTGTGCTCTGCACATTGTATCATACCTTTGTTGGAATTTATTTTTAGTAAGTTTTTAATAATAAATAAAATGATAATGTTGCCAAATTGATGAGGTTTTGGTTAGCCCTGCCTCATTTATGATGTTTTGAGGTGTGTCTTTAATAAGTACTTCTTAATACATATTTAATATACAATTTCAGGTAATTTATTTCATGAGTAAGAACAAAAATAAATTAGATTGGAAAGATTTTCAAAAGTTTCCTTCATTTCGGCCTATAAACAACTATAATCAAGGTTAGTTAATATGACAGCCTTTTGCATGCCTGTTTGATGATGTTATTTTCTAGAACGGTACTCCTGAATTAAATTTGTCTTAGTAATATGTAGGGAGATATAGAACCTATATTGGTAGATGCAGAAAGCATGTATTAAATAAGTTGATAGCAAGTTTGAATGGAATGAAAAAGAAAAAGGAAGAGAGCCAAGGACTAAGATGATGTTAAAGGAAGTGGTAAAAAGAAAGGCAAATGATATGTGAAGATGTGATCAGCTTATTTTTGTAATTAGTGTATAATAATTGAATTTTGAATAAATAAATCTGAAGGTCCAAGCATTAAAAATAATTGGTAATCATAGCTATATTCTCTTAAAAGTGGCCCTTCTTGAGACTGGCAATGTTTCAGAGTCCTTTGAGAAAAATAGAGAAAGAACATCTTTCTGGGAACTATGAGAAGTTTAGAGAAAAAATAACAGTCCAAGAGAGAAGATTAAATTCTCTGTCACTAGCTTCCATTCTTACCTTCCACATTAATCCATTCCCTGCATGTCAACCAGGATCATCTTTTGTACTGTCTTGTGCTTTGATTGGATCTTTTACCTTTGCATGATTTTGTAATATCTTACATGGAACATTTAGAAGATATTTCTTTCTTTCTTTCTTTCTTTTTTTTTAAAGATTTTATTTATTTATTTGACAGAGAGAGAGAGTGAGAGCAGAAACACAAGCAGGGGGAGTGGGAGAGGGAGAAGCAGGCTTCCTGCCAAGCTGGGAGCCCGATGCAGGGCTCGATCCCAGGACCCTGGATTCATGACCTGAGCCAAAGGCAGACGCTTAACGACTGAGCCACCCAGGCGCCCCTAGAAGATATTTCTTAATTGAATTATGCAGATCTTTTGAATGTTGACATTTCATCATACAGTGCCAAAAAATCACATTTGTTAATATCACCACAAATTTCATCAGAAATATCTTTAATTATTGGGAAGCTGTCCATCTCACAGTGATAGAAGTTTTACAGAAGTCTAATTTTCACTTAAAAGCTTCAGTTATGTCTTGGGCAATGTTTTCTTTGAAGTTGGCAGGCCCATTTTGTTCATTTTCTAGAAAATTTCTGCCAGATACCTAAATTGGAATAGCCGTAATTTGTCTGCAGTCATTTTTTGCAGTAAAAATTGTGTTCCATGAAAAAAAATGTCTAGTTTAGATCACACTCATAATCACACAAATGTTTTCCCCAAGACATAATTCTGTATATAGCAAAAGTGCTTTATGCATTTATCACCATCAATTTAATACATTTTGTTGTACAGAATATTTTTATAAAACTGTATTCAGAATTCAAGATTTAATGAAATTAAGTGAAACTGGACTAAAAATACCCAAAAAACCTTGGTGTGGGTGAAGGTGAAGAATACATGACTAGCAGTACATTTTGATTCCATTACCTTGATCACAGTTCTAATGTGCCAGTGGTTTACCCAGCCTCATTTTTGGACCGTGAGAACAAATGTCAACACAGTGGAAAAGGCAAATAAATCCCTGATTATTATGAAAATAGTTTTGATTTTGTGGACTTCTTGAGAGGGTCTTGTGGAATCCACAGTTCACAATTTGAGAAGTGCTCTGATACAGGGTGATTGGATTTAGATTATGGGTGTTGGGGAAGGCATTTCTTTTTTTTTTTTTTAAAGATTTTATTTATTTATTTGAGAGAGAAAGAATGAGAGACAGAGAGCATGAGAGGGAGGAGGGTCAGAGGGAGAAGCAGACTCCCTGCTGAGCAGGGAGCCCGATGCGGGACTCGATCCCAGGACTCCAGGATCATGACCTGAGCCAAAGGCAGTCGCTTAACCAACTGAGTCACCCAGGCACCCTGGGGAAGGCATTTCTGAGGAAATGATTTTTAAGCTAAGCCAAAGGAACAATAGCACTTGTGAAGGGTTTGAAGTAGGCTGAGTTGTGTTCCAGTCATAAAGGAACTGCAAGACCAGTATACGTAAACTATTGTGATTAAGGGGTGGTGGTGGTGGGGGGGGAAGTAATGCATGACGGGGCCAGCGCATTTGAGACTTCAGAACCCGTTTTAAGGAGTTTAGATTTTATCCTCTAATTATGAAAGGTTATTGAAAGACCTTTTAAGCAGGGGAGTGATGGAATCTGATTTATGTTTCAAAAGGAGTGCTTTGGTTGTTTAAGGAATTAAAAAATGATATATTTAAGTAAGTTGTCATATTTACTGTTGCAAAGTCTTTTGCTAGTACTAAAACTTTATTGAAAACCTGGAACTCAGGATGTATTTAGATAGTAACTTTATTTTGATTCAGATTTTTCAGAAAGCCTTACAGAGTAGAAAAAAGAGCAAAAGGAATCTTCTTTGGGGCCACATGACATTTAATTTAGTTAAGATATCTCTAACTTGCCAGGAAACATCTTTAAAAAATTACTTGTATTCCATTATTTAAAATAAGTAGTTGAATATTCATGAGGGCAGATACTCAGGTAACTTATTTATTGGTTGCACAGACTATACTTCTCATAGTAAGTAACTCCACAAATGTGAATTCTCTGGAGGTATTATACATAAACTACATTTATTTCTAAGAGAATACCTCTTGACTTTTTTTCATATTAAGGGTTTTTTTTTTTTACATGTGTGACGACAGTGATGATATGCTAATATTTATCAGTTATTCATTTAAAGGCAAAGCACTTTGCAATTAATTGAAGGGAGAGAAAGCGGCATTGCTTCCCATGCCTATATTACTCGTTTTTCTCCAAAATATTCCTGTGGCCTTGGTGTTTATGGATCTAGCAATCTGGCCCCCCCCAAAGAAAATGCATTATTTTTTATTTACATTATTTTCTTTTTGTTAGCATAAGCTAACAAAGAGACCCATTTTTAGATTACTAATGTGCACTTTATTCCCCCTTCTTTTCAGTGATGTCCAGCCTATTTTTTGGTTTATTTTTGGGTTTCTCACTTATAAGGTTTTCATATTGATGTGACCTAAACCTCTTTTTCCCTGTGTTGCATATGAGTGAGTTTCTGTTAGACTGGAAAGAATAGAGTACACAATTGTCTAATTTAGATGGTGGGAGCTCTTTTCTCCACCAGTCTTATCTTTTCATCTAGGTTGGGTCTGGCAAAAAAGGCCAACAAAGTAAATAGTCTGATATTGCAGGGGACAATTAGGCTTTCCAAGGTGACCTTCAGTGTTTATTTCTGGAGTAGTGCTTGTATTTTGGTCACTATTAGAACCTTGTTACACTTACCTAGAAATGTATCTGTGTCTTGAGTTTTGTGTGTGTGTGTGTGTGTCTTGAGTTTAAATTGATATTTTAAAAGTCATTTCATATTTTAGTTATATATGCTAGATTTCCTAAGAGTATTCTGATTTAAAATATTCTGTTCCTCTGTCTTGTCATAGAAATGCATTCCTCACTCATGAAAATGCCTTCTTTTTCATACTTGATTCTTGGTTCATGTAATACTTGTCCTTAGGCAAGTCACCTAAACACTCAACCATGATCTATGTCCCCTTAATTTAAAAACTTGTGATGATGTTTGTGTACTGTTAAAATAGGAGAGCATAATGGTTACCACTTTTGTTTATTTAGGAGTCTAAATTTGATGTGATTTTTTTTTTTTTTGGAAATGGCTGTTGACTTTGCTTAGAGTGGTGATGATAAGAAGTGAGTATTGGCAGTGGAGGCAGGGGATGAAAAGACTAGAAGTGGCCTGTGGATGAAGTCTTTATGTTTGCTATCTGGGACATCTTGAGGAAGTTTTGGGACTCTAAACTGAGAATCTCTGTTTTTCTTATCCACATCGTCCTTACCGTCCCTCCCCCCACCACAGCAAGTAACATATAGCAAACAATAAGTTAATTTTCATAACTGTGATTGAATTTTATGAAAATAAATATATTGCCTAAGAACATTCCTTGGCTTGCAAGTTTTTGATATGAAAGAACTAGCTCATGTCTTAGTCTTTGTCCATTAATTGAGCGATGAGTGTAATTAATTTTTTCTAGGTACATAGCTTATCATCTATTCCCTACTTTCTCCTAGTTTTGGTTTTTCAAAAGTAAGTTTGTATGTGTGTGTTGGGGGAGGTTTCGTTCATTTGAATCTGGGAGAACAGAGAAAATGGATAGTTTTGGAATTTAGATTGTAGTGATGTTTGAGATAAAATGAGGGGAAGTTAATTTTGCTCTTGATGTCAAGATAAAGGGATTGTAAAGATTTAAGTTATAGTTTAGCCCACTTCTTTTCTTTAGCTACAGTGCAAATAACACATAATCAAGTTTCTTTGCTTTTGAGAATGACTTCTACCTACTTGAATGGGAACAGGGAAAGCTTATTATACAGAATTTTTCTCAACAAGATTCCTTTTTTCTCTCCTATGGTAGAAATGTGGAAATAGCTTTATCAGAAGGGCTCTTTGTAATGATATTTTGTACGGAGTTTTAGAAATTATACTATCATGTTTTTTTATTAAAGTTTATTAAAGTTTTATAAAGTGTATTAAAGTTTATTAAAGTTGGTAGATCTTATGAGGCAAGTTTAGAATGTGTTAGAATTTTGAGATTTTATTTATAGCTGAAATGTTTAAATTCAATGAATATAGCTATTGAAAACCTTCTGTATCCTAGGCATTATGAATACAGAGATGATTTTAAGCATAGCAGTTGATTTACGGTAGGTCATTAAATCAGTAACTAGTATGGTTCTTTTTTTTTTTTTTTTTGAAATGGTCCAACAAAAAGATGAAAGATGAGGCATTGAACTTAATTAACTGAGGATCAAATCAGTTTTGGGTATATTAGTTTGCTAGCGCTGCCATAATAAACTATCACGAAGTAGGTGGCTGAAAACAGAAATTTATTTTCTCTCAGTCTGGAGGCTGGAAGTCCAAGATGAGGGTGCTGGTAGGGTTGGTCTCCTGAAGCCTTTCTTCTTGGCTTGCAGATGGCTGTCTTCTTGATGCCTCTTCACATGGTCACCTCTCTGTGCATGTGTGCCCCTGATATCTCTTCTTCTTCTTATAAGAACACCAGTTATTGAATTCAGGCCTTATCTGAGTAGCCTCATTTTTACTTAATGATCTGTTTTAATACCTTATCTCCTAATATGGTTACATTCTGAGGTACTGGGGTGGAACTTCAACATAAATTTTAGGGGTACATAATTTAGCTCATAATAGTAGGTAATGAAATCAGTCAAGAAAGAAAATGGTGCCACATGTGATTTTAAAAATTACTTATTTTTTTCCCTTTTATTTAATAAGGTTTGTGTAGAAGTACAATTGTTCTGTGCTTTTTGTTGTATATCTCCTAGCCGGAGAATTTTCATCCTTGGGCCTTCTCATCATGTGCCCCTCTCTCGATGTGCACTTTCCAGTGTGGATATATATAGGACACCTCTGTATGACCTTCGTATTGACCAAAAGAGTAAGTATATAGAAATCTTATAGCTTTAAAACAGCTAAAGATTTTTTTAAAACAAGTTAATTAAAAAATTAAAAATATGAATATCATAAGTAAGATCTCAGTTTTAAAGATAAAATTGATTTCAACGTATTTGCAAAAAGCAAAAACAAAGAAGGAAGATCTTCTGTATGCCTAAAAGACGACTAGAGTTTTTTTTGCCAGTCACAACACAAAAATCTGTCAGATCCACTGGTCTCCAGCCTGTTCATATTACATGTGTATTCAGGGAAGTGTCTTGTACTCACTGTACCATGGCACAAGAAATTAGTACCCACAACAACTTGAAGAAAGATTCTGGGCATGATAGTCTGACTCTATGTATATTACCTTCCTCATTGTAAATAAGTCATGATGATAATGCCTTTATTTCTTCTCAGATGATTTTTATGGGGGCAACAAAAGTGAAACACTAAACAGAGGTGCTTCATAAATCTTAAGTGTATTTTATTTTTAAAAAACATGTCTCTTATTTTGATATATATTTTCCATAGGATTCTAGAAATCACACCTTTTATTAAGTTGTGTCGCATTTTATACACTGAATGTGTAAATTAAAATCTTTTGATTTTATAATAGTATTTTTGGAGGAGTGGGGAGCATAATTTTAAAAATATAGAACAATAGAGAGAATAGTGAAACAAATATTCTTGAACTTACCATCCACAATTGACTCAGAATTTTCCCCTTAACTCAGTTTGCTTTCCCAAAAGCCATCTTCATGAGTTTGCTTTGTATTCTTCCAGTTCATCACATTATATTTTAAGTATGTTGGGTGCTTATTGTTTCAAGAAATCTTGGAACAAATTCTTCTGTAGGATGAAAGAAGCCATTTGCAAAATAGGCAATCACCTCTTTTTCCTTATTTTTAGGCCTAATTTTTCATAAACGGGGTTTTAATTATTACTGAGTATTAGTAATTTGTTAGAATAATTTTTACTAATGAAACTGGAGTATAACTAGCCTTATTACTCCCTGTGATGCTTTTAGGTAACATACTTTATTTTTAAAATCTTGTTGGGGCATTCAGAAAATTTTGGTTTTAGATAGCTTCCTAATAAAGGAATGGATGATATTTAATCAGGTATAATTTTGCAGAAAAAATGTCATGCCATCATTTGTTTGTTTCTTTGATATTGGTAAGCCCATTTAAGAATGTAGTTATAAAAATGTTCTGTTTTATGATAAAACAAAAATATTCTTATATTACTTTTTTTACATATTAAATTTCATCTTTTATTATATCGTATCAGTTTTTAAGTATAATTCATCAGAAGGGTCTGAATTACTAGATCATTTTAGAATTATTTATGGCATGATACTATGTTGAATTTATGTCCTGGTCTGTCCCAGAAGCTTAATTTTTAATTTTGAGGAAAATAATATGCTTAATAGGAATTTTCTGTTCTTTGTCTGGCAGACATCTGAGATGGGAAATAATAATCCCATAGATTTTGTTATAAAACAAAACAAAACTTAAAAACTATATCATTAACCTCACGAGTAGGTAGAGCAGTGGCTTTGCCATGTTTTACTAGGAGTTCTAATCAACTGTGTTCTTGTTGGCATGTGCTGCTTAAGTCAAGAAAAAGCTTAGACCCAGAGGTGATTTTAGATGTAATAAAAAGAACTGATGAACATTTTAAATGATTATTTTTATATAACTGTGTAACATATGAAAATGCTGAGTAGTCATCACATGTATTATTGCTTTGTTTGGTATGTAAAAAGCTAGTTTTTTTCTTCTTTTTTAAAGATAAAAATGAAGGAAAATATTATGTGGTACTTCTGTCTCTTGCCAAAGCATTGTAGTTTTTTGTTGCTGAATGGAGTCTCACAGAATAAGGATATACATTAATATATCTGTTTTACTATATTTTGAAATCTCTTTAGTTTACGGAGAACTATGGAAGACAGGAATGTTTGAACGCATGTCTCTGCAGACAGATGAAGATGAACACAGTATTGAAATGCATTTGCCTTATACAGCTAAAGCCATGGAAAGGTATATTGATTAATATAAGAAATCCCAGAGAAATCATAAGTATTAATTTCTTCGGAATTATTTTCACTGGGTAAAATAATCATTAGGATAAAGAGATTTAAAAAAATTTTTGTTATTTGAGGGTTGGCTGGCTCAGTCAGTAGAGCCTGCAACTCTCAATCTCAGTGTTGTGAGTTTGAGCCCTACATTGGGTGTAGAGACTTCTTAAAATTAAAAAATCCTTAAAAAAATTTTACTATTTGAAATGATGTAAAAATTTGAGATTGGATGTTTCTAATTTGGATTGAAGTTGGTTTTGAGTAGTTTGCCTATAAAGGCTGAACATGTGAGTTGACATGGTTTTTTATTAGGTGATAATGTTTCAAAAACCTCTGTGTGTATTTGAGTGGGTGTGTGTGTGTGTGTGTGTCTGCCTTTTATTCATTAGACATTTATCTCAGAATAACAAATTCTTTTATGCTATAAGTAGGTAATCATAAAATTTTAGATTTGGAAGTAATATTGGAGCTCATTTATTTCATCCTTATGCAAAGTACCTGAATATTTTTTATGATATGCTTGGCAGATTATTGTTTGGTACTTGCTAAAGGTCTTCCAGTGGTGGGATGCTCATACGACTATTAAGTAGGATGAGGACAGGGACAATACCTATTTTATTCTCCACTTGTATCCCACTGCCTAGCACAATGCCCATTTCATAGTAGTCATTAATTTATTTTGTAAAATGAGATAATTTTTAAAGAGCTTTCTTCTTTTAGGGCAGTATTCAGATTAGAAAGTCTTCCTTTTGTAGTCACATATGTCTAATTTTTTCTTTTTTTTTTTTTAAGATTTTATTTATTCATTTGACAGAGATAGATACAGCGAGAGAGGGAACACAAGCAGGGGGAGTGGGAGAGGGAGAAGCAGGCTTCCCGCAGAGTGAGGAGCCTGATGCGGGGCTCGATCCCAGGACCCCGGGATAATGACCTGAGCCAAATGCAGATGCTTAACGACTGAGCCACCCAGGCGCCCCTAATTTTTTCAACCATTTCCTTTACATGAACTTAATATTCCATATATAGTTCGACTAGTTCTAAATATGGTGAGATTATTCCTTCCCTGGATCTTGTCATTATATTCTCTTAGTAAAATACATGGTGTATTATACAGGTTTACAGTAAATATTTGTTAATTAAATGTATTAATGAAGTCTAAGATCACATTGACATTTTTCATGTTGGTATGGCTTACTTGCTATTGGCTAATACATTTGTGGCCAGCTAAAGCCCAAGGCTTTTCCCTACAGTTAAGTTGGATTATTTTCTCTCTTGTACTTTTGTGGTTTCTTTTTAACCCTTAGTTACTACTGTTTAATTTTTCCTTGTTGGTTTTAGTCTATTATGGCACTCATTTTGGATCATTTCTACTCCTAATTCTCTTATGAGAGAGTTATTTAACTTCTCTCATTCCACATCTATTCACAATGGTAACTATGATGCATTGTGTAAATCTGAAGAAGTTTCCAAAAAATCAGTGTGATATTAAATTATAAGCAGTATAATTTTAGGTTAATTGTGTTTTACCACATTCTAATCCTTCAGAAATTGTTAAACCAATATATGCTCTTTATTTCCTGGAATGCTAGTATAATCAGGACGTTCCATTCTTCAATTACATAGAATAATATAAAGCTTTTGTTATTTCTTGAAATATTAGCATATTTTGTCATGAGAAAATATATTTTAGACTTAAGAAAGCCAACAATATCCTTAAGGAAGTTTTAACAAAATAATATTTTTGTTGTTATTTCAAAAGTAAAACATGTAATGTTGAAAATTTAGGAAAATAGTAACTTAACCAAAATTCCTGTTCATAATTCCCCCTCTGTTAAATAGTGTTAAATAACCACTATTAAATATATCACTTCTCAAGAGATTTTCCCTCTCTCCCAGATTACATTTGCATCTCTAATACTGACTTTTAGAAAGTACCCAGTACTTTTCCTTTATAGTCTTTGCTGCACTCACTACCTGTATTACTTATCCATTACTGTGTGAGAGATTGCTCCAAAACTTAGTGGTTTAAAATCACAACTATTACTCTAAAAATTATTGCTCACAAATTTTAGGTCAGGAGTTTGGGCAGGGGACACCTTGCTTTGGTCCATGAGATGTTGACTGAAGTAAGTTGAGTGAGGCTCATGGATCCAAGATGGCCTTGGTGTTAGCTTTTATTTGAGATACCTCATTTGTTCTCTAGATGGTCTATTTGTTCATCAACCAGGGCTTTTCTCTCTTCTTGGCTTCTCTCTAGAAGGATAGCCTGGATTTTTTTACATGGTGATTTAGGGTAACCAGAGAACAAAAACAAAAGTTCCCAGTCTGTTAAGGCCTCGGCCTGAAACTACACAGCATCATTTTTATCACATTCTCTTTTTAAAAGCAGAACACAGTATTAGCCAAGGTTTAAGGGAAGGAGAAATAGATTCCACTTCTTGATGGGAGGAGTAGCATGTGTATATTCAGGAATAGGAGGAATTGTTGGTAGCCATCTTTGCAGATGGACTATGTCACAGTTCTTCTGATAGACAATTCAGTGTCTCTCCACCATGCAGTACTCAGTCCTCCTAAGATGCCCAGAAATCTCATTCAGTTAGGACCTCAGGTTCAAAGTCCATTACCTTATGATCTGCATTAGGTCATGATGTGGATGAGGCGTTCTGGGTACAGCGCCTCTTGATTTGGATACCTGTGAACTAAGAAGACAGGTTTTGCCCCACCCCCACCCGCCATTCACGCCATATACAATTTTGAGACAGGAATTTAAAAAAAATTGTTTTTAAAGATTTTATTTATTTATTTGATAGCGGAGAGCACAGGCGGGGGAGCGGCAGAGGGGAGAGGCAGAGGGAGAAGCAGGCTCTCCGCTGAGCAGGGAGCCTGACAAGGAGCTCGATCCCAGGACCGTGGGATCATCACCTGAGGCAAAGGCAGACGGCTTAACCAACTGAGCCACCCAGGTGCCCTGAGACAGGAATTCTTAACCACACAATAGATACTCTGTGGAGAGTGAAAGAATGGGAGGCATATAGCAGCCTCTGGTCCAAAGCAATTCTGAAATCTAATCAGGGAACAGAGAATGTTCTTTGATTGGGGCTTGGTTCTGACTTGTAGTAGTGGCTTCATAATTCCTTACTTTTCTGAGCTCTTGGCTTGGTCTTTTGGACTCTTGGCTCTACTCGCTGACTCATTTTTACTTCCTCATAAGAAATGGGCTTTGTTTACACCTGAGTATTCATTTCCATCTGCTTCATGTATGTGACAGTTTGAAAACTTAAAGGCCTCTTTTCATTTGGAACAGTGTTTATTTTAGTCTAAACTGGTAGAACTCCATTAAACATTGTGGATTTTCTGTATATCAGATTATAAGTGCATTCCATTAGGCAATAGTCACATCCACAGTTCAGTGAGTGACAGGACTCTCTCTACTTTGGATCCCAATATAGGGTCCTATAAGGTTCTTAGAAGCCCTTTTGCCTACCTGAGAGAGAATGTAAGCCCTATCTTATTAAGTCTTTCTATGGTCTTAATAAAGGATTTTATAGATGAATTTTTGATTTGATGATTGTGAGCCCATGATTTATTGGCAGTACTCTGGATTTGTTCTTTGTCTTCATGTTGTTTCTTTGACAATCTTTTGCTATTTGTAGAGGCTAGTGATGAGAAACAACTATTTGCCAACCAAGCAACTCTTGTGTAGAAATATTTCCTTTAAATTCTGCTTGTAATTCCTTAGCTCATGTTTTTCTTTTTTTACCTTCTCATACTTGGCTACAAAGTAGCCAGTGACACTTTGAATATTTTGGCTGGAAATCCTAGCTAGATCTATAATAGGTTCACTAGGTATATTTTTAATGTCCCAAGTTATTATACATGTGCTCATTCTGCTGATTGTTCTGCCCATATATCATATGGGCCCCTCTTCTTCTGGCCTTGTATGGCCGTTTCCTTACTGCTCTGGCAGTTCCCTGTCTCCTTCTCGCCCTTCCAGCTTCTGCCTGCCTCAGTGTCCTCAATGCCAGTGTTTTAGGTTTCTGTTCCAGTAGTACCCTTTCCAAGCACCACTTTTTATCTCACGTACCTATTGTAGCATAACAAATCACCTCAAAGTGCCTATGTTTTTTGCTTAGGACTCTGTGAACTAGAAATTTGGTCAGGGGTGAGTGGTGACAACTTGTCTGTGTTTCATCTGCTGCTAGCTGAAGCAGGCTGACTTAGGCTGAAGGCTCTAGGGCACCCTCACTTCTCGTCTGGGGCTGCGATGCTGCTGTCTCCTGAACCACCTTCGTTCTTGTCTCAGTGCTCTCCATTTCACCTGTTGTCACTTATCCTTCAGGGCCTCTCTCTTTATATAGTGTCCCTCTCCTCGGATAGGCATGGACTATCATGAAGTACATGGCAGTTCAGGGCAGCAAGAAAGCAAAACTAGAAATTTTCAGGCATCTTAATATCTGGGTTTGGAACTGGCACAGTGTTAACTTAGGCCGCATTCTCCTCATCCGAGCAAGTTGCAAGGCTAGGTTCAACGGGGAAGGGAGAAAGAGATTCTGCTTTGGATGGGAGGAGTGATGTGGGCATTCAGAAGTGGGAGGAATTTTCAGGGATTATACTTGAAGATAGCTTACCATAGTACCACTGTAGTGAAATAGCTCTTTTGGTGATTGCCTGCATATGTCCCCCTTCCTTGGTAGTCCCCTAGCTGCTCCCTGCCGGAGGACAGCTAGTTTTTACTGTACTTTCTGTGCCCAGCTCAGGACCTGGTACACAAAAGAATTCCCGTAATTAATTGTTGAGTGAATTAATAATGATCTTCCCATTATTAAATATTAAATTTTTTCCCAAAATGAGGTCAAATGTTCTTACTAACTGCGTTTCATATTATAGACATATTTCCATGTCTATAGACAGAACTTTCTAGAATATGTGTATATAATGCTTTAATCATTTGACCATTTAATT